TCGCCTATAAAATCTTCTCCACTGTTACTGCAGTAATCTTAAAGAGTGCTCAGAATAGTAAAAGATTTGCAGATTGTAAAACAGTTTATAGCAATTGCAAAGATTATTTCTGAGAAGAGTTATGATGAATCAAAGTCAAAGTTCGAAAACGGGTAGAACTTTTGAAACAACCCAATAGTTTTCCAATGTTATGCAAAATTAGAGAACTCCAAAGCGAATTTCGAATGCTAATATATTTAAAAGCTTTATGCAAATGATCGAATTCTTATTTGACTCGGGAACACATGTTAAACACCTTTTGAAAAAATCTTTCGCTAGACAGGGAGGATAGATCATTGCGTTTTACGTATGGCTATGTAGCTTACGTCATTGACCAAGTTTCTGGATCTCTTTTTGATAAAAAGAAGCGCTGGTTACTCAAAAACCTGTACCGATGGGCTTTGAAGCTAGGTACTACCTCCGTATTCATGATGACACTGTTGAGAAAAAAAAGCCAAAAAAGAGTTCAGAAAGACGCAATGGGAGCAATTTTCGTTTTCATTTTGGAAATGGCTCCTTAAAACAGGCACAACACTATTATTTACATTAAGGCAAATCAGAAGTACCTCAATATTGCCTTCGAAAGACCATGTCTTGCAGTTTTAGATAAATCTTATTGTATTGCAAAAGTATGGCCCAAGCTTTCAGTACATTCTTTAAGTAATGCGGTTACGCTGCATAACGTAAGAGCGTCTCAATCCCATCTCTTAGTTCTCTGCTGATCCCTCCGCTTTGGCTATCACGGCATTCAAGCTGGAAAAAATCTTTTGTAGTACCTGACGTGATTCTCTTCAAAAACTGCCTTCTTCCAAGTAATGTGTGGTTGTGATGGCTCGAAAACCACGAAGTCGTGGTTTCCATTGTCGCCAAATTATGACAGTACATTCGTTTTGTGAAGTAGAAGAAAATGCGTTTATCTCTTTGTCATTACTACCTTACCCTAATATTTTCTACTTTTTGTGAGAGGAGATGCAAGTGAAGATGATCTGCAGTCTGCATTCTGATTAAACTCCCTCGAACACATCTTGGCCACGTGTTTGGTAGTATTTTTGGCATTACTAAAGGAGGATAGGAATTCTGTATCTGATAATAAAATTTTGGAAGCAGCCCTGATAATAGCTAGTGTTCATTGCTTCTACAAATACATAGGGATTGGTTAGCTGATAAAGAGTTGAAAAGTATGAGGCACTTCTTTGCATTTTTATGATATTTTTAGCTCATGAATTCACAGTGATACTTATCACTAACACCAGGAAGTAAAAAGTCACCTGCAATAGATATTTCATACAGATTACGCATGCAGCTTTTCCGTAATTTTATTTCGGGAGGAAGCACAAGCTGAGTGTATCACAAAGTATATATTTGTCTTAAGGCTCACCAAGCGAGGGTTGATTCTTATTAGCTTCCGTTCAATGGAGACGAAATACGATTTGAGATCAGATTTGCTAAACTAGGTATTTTTGGTAACCTTTGACTCAACTGGCTTGGCGCCTAGAAGGCGGAACTTTGTGACCTAATTAAGGCCGCCGCGCCTGCTATGCCAGTAGAATCAAAAGGTAAAAGCTATGAAGTGCTTGTATAAGTTCAACTCTCTTGATCAAAATCAATTTATGGAGCTGGAGATGTTCCAGGGAAAAAGGTATTTTTGATTGTCAGATAAAAGATTTAGGCAGAAAGGCCATGCTGCTACACTTACTTCTTGGAACGCAGTATGCGTTGAAAACGGCTAGAGCAGAGCCAGATGGCACGTCAAGTATTGAATTTTTACCGCGTTGAATTTTTACCTCTGTTTAACCTGGAATAAAAGCGTAAAATAGCCAGAGTTAACTTCTTGGTTTACATCCAGACTCGCATGTAAACAATGTATACTATAGTGTGGACCCGGCCAGCTTCCCATAGGTACCTGCGTGACGCACCCGCAGCGCACGCCTTCAGTGCGTCTCCTGTCCTAGCTTCTGATGAAAATCCTCCTTTCTCTCTTTTTTTTGTTTTTGGTGCACTATATTCTCTTTATTTTAGGTATGAACAATTCGCGATGACCGGTGACGAGATTATACGTGCTCTAATAGCTCTAAGAGCTTCAATCTTGTGTATTGGTCTTGTGTTTTCCCTTTTTTCTCTGAAAAATTGAGCTTTGATTGAATATTAGATGATATTTTTTCAAAAGCTTCTTTTATAAAATAAGAGTCTCTTTCGGTTTGATGTGTAAGGTGTGGACAGTGTCTCAAGTCAAAACTGAGCCTTCCAAGAAGCCAATAGGCATTTGTCTACTGAGATATCAACCTTTGACCACTCTAGTTTCTACGTTTACGAAGAGAAACGTTAAGAATGCTGTTGTTCTCTAATTTTTCTACGTATAGTTATTACAACCTCTCCATCAGTGCAAGTTCGGAATATGCATCCATTGATCGAATTTGAGGTATTCATGGAAGTTGCCTGCGTTTCATTCTTGCATACGTCTCTTTCGAAGGGAACGTAGAGGTTTCCACTTTACATTTTCCTCCTTTGTGAGCACAAATATGCTCTACTGCTCATGAGTGAGGCAGGAGGCTTTGAGAAGGGCGCGCGCTGCGTGCGCGCTGCGGGAGTACCTATGGGAACCTAGCCGGGGTCCACACTATAAATCTTTGTGACTAACATGGTCGCTACTTGAAACATTCTGCCTCTTGACACGTATGTATCAGACAATGTGTCTAACAATGATGTAAGGAATTCCAAAGGCGCTATCAGAACAAAATTTGTTCTTGTGAGGGCTTTGATGCCTCCAAAGATCTGTCATCAGGTGTCCAGTACAGCTCAAGTGTGACCCACAGCATTCTTCATCAGTTTGTGACTTGCGAGATCGGCACCTGAAGCTATCACGATAGCACCTTTGTCTAGTTCAAACCAGCAAATAGCAAAGAAACTAGTAGCACCAGTTGCACTTGAATAGTCAAAGAGATTGAAGAAAAGTTCCATGGCGTATTTGTCTAAATGATTTCGAAAAAGTCGAGCAGAGTACAGAACTTCTGTCCAGTTGTACCGGAAAGCAGAGTACATACATTGTTAAAGCTAAAGTCGAACCACAACTCTTTCTATAGATTCGTCAACATATGTTGTTCATCTCGGAAGATGTTCTTAGAGTATTTACTTTCATAATTTGAAGAGACCTTTGTAAGAAATCAACTCACGTACTAGTGAAACCTTGTATTATCAGATGTCAAAAACTGATGACAGCTGGTGTTAATATAGTTCGGCGCACAATCCCTCTCATCGCCAATGTTTATAAGAGAAAGTTACCAAGAGAATTTTGAGTTTTTGGAAGACATATAACCTTTGATTCAACTGGCTTGGCTTCAAGAAGGCGGGGCTTTGTGACCTAAATGAGGCTGCTCGCGCCCGCGACGCACCTGCGTGTCTCTCGCGCGAGTGCTCTCTGATCATTACTTGGCCTCAATTAGGTCACGAAACCCCGCTACCCGAAGACAAGCCAGCTGAATCACATGGTATGTAGTTTGCGCTATTTCAGACAGCTAAGTGATATGTTACTGCTTGCTGATGTAAGGGAGCGTCTTGCGGTATTTTAGACAGTGGACCTCAAGCTTTTGTTTTTTATTCTTTCAAATTGTTCTTCTTATTCTTTCGATTGTTACCATGATCCGCTTTAGTGATAAAAATGAAGGAAGGGCACTATTTGCAAGAGAAAAAGATTAGAACTTCTTCAAGAATCTTCTTTGTTCAACTTCTAACTACGGCATGCCACACAGCGCGCTAATACAACCATATGATAGAAAAGTTCGTAAACTAAACAAGCTCACTGGGTAAAAGCGCTGGCAAACCGAGTGGTAAGGACAAGTGACATTTGACTCAAAATTATTCCGTAAAAGTACATTAATTTTAATAACAGGGAGAAGTCTCTATGTTTCTCCAGTGAACGTCCGACAGATACTTAAGCCTTAATAGGCGGTGGGCGACTTCCTCAATTATATTTTTGAGAGAAGGCCGTTTCGAGTCAGATGCATTGCTTTGAGGGCATAATTTGTTTGATTGGGCGGGTTTTACCAGTATTACTACCAATACACCTGCTTCCAACATATACAGTTGCTTATGTTGAATAAGAGCATTTTTGCTAAAAGCAGGGGACATGAGACAGACTCCATCGAACTTCTACACCTTGATGACTTCATATTCGTCTAAACAAGCTCACTCCCTTTCTATCCCCAGAAAAGATTTTGCGGGCTAGACTTGAGCTGATTCAGTGGGGTGCTTGCCTGTTTTTTTGTTGCTTGTTGTTTGATGTGATGCTTCGTTTCTCTGGCAAGTAGGCACGCCTTGTGCGTATCAAATATATAAATATAATTGAACAAGCTTTTACAGTGAATTTAGAAGATTCAGATAATTCAACAGGGCTTTGTTTCATTTATGAGATTTTGCTTCAGGCATTGTTGTTCATAAACGAGTGGATAGATCAGATGACTAGGTCAGGTGTCTCTTTTTCTTGGTCAATTTACCTCAACCTCAATTCAATCCACCATTCACTCAGGAAAAGAAATAATTCTTGAGCTATGCTCGCTTTCAAAAGTATTTTAGTGCAATCTTCGGATGAAAATAACCATGTCTGTAGATGTCGTCTGAAGAAGATATGGAGACGAGTAGTAAAGTAGCAGGATTGAACTTATTTTTCGTTTTACCTGAAGTCTCGAATGGCGTCCAAAATATTCCCGTAGAAAAGAAATATTATTTAGACTTAAAGAACAATCCTTGATCGTGAAATTTGTCGGCAGAAAGCACCATGGAATTGCCAGGCAAGTTACAGGAATGAATGTAGCTGTTTTGCGCTATTGTATGACTTTCTTTTTTAAGCCTTCACTTTTTTCTAAGTGCTAATCAAAAGTAAGAAATAGTAGAGGAATATGGGATTGCAAGGTTTTCTCCGCCCATGGGGTATAAAATAGGTCGTTGTTGTCTTATTAGGGCGAGCGATGTTCACTTTCCTTTCATTACTGCTACTGTGTGCTTCTGCAGATGCCTCTGATAGCGAAAGGGGGTAGGCGCTTGTACTTTGTTCCTCTACATTTGCAGATCTGTATTAAGAATGATCAGACTCATTTTTCAGTCATAATCTATACTACGTTTAAACTGACGGTTCTACAAAAAAAAGAAATGAAGTCGCTTGAAGTTTTTTAGTGAGAAAATTTGCATTTCAGAAACAGCGTTCGACTTCAAGGTGCAAAGGGCATTCAGTATAAACTTGATTTACTCGAGCAATGGAGTGAATATAAAAAGACTTACGGTGAGATATGTCTCTTGTCTCGAAACAATACTACACTGAACAACCTAGACTCGTGTTATCTCTTTCGCACTAGAAGACAAACTCAAGCGTAACGATCTACAAAAAGTGATGCTTTGATACTTTTAAAGTTATAGCCCGAACATTTTAGCGTCCCATCCGTGCACGAAATGATAGTTTGCCAAAATTCTATTGGTTCCAAGTTTTTCGGCATCACTGCTGAAACATTGCAAACTCTTAAATAAGCATATGGTTATCCTTTGTCAACAGAGAAGGGATGCAGTCGAAGAAAATTTGTAAAGTGCGGTACTGACAACCCAAAGTTCTAAATTGATTCGAAATCAAGACACGTTTTGTTAAATTTGAAATACAGATTATAGATTTTATCTGCTATCAAAGCAATGGCTAATTGATAGAATACCTGAAAAAATGCGATTGACTTTGTGATTTCAGGCAAGAGTTACAAAGAAAGCGAAGAAAGTATCTACTTGAAAACTTTTGTGGAAAATCTTAAGCGCATCGAAGAGCATAACCGAGAATATAGTCTAGGGAGAAAGTCGTTCGAGTTGGGACTAAACCACCTTGCTGATCTCGTAAGACATTCATTTCGCAGTCGTTCGTCCGTACACTTATTGTTAGCACTTGATTTTTTCATTTAAGCCCACCTCACAATATCAGAAGCTGAATGGATAGCGTTACCATCGTAGATTGAGTGATGATGATTGGAACAATAGCAGCAAGTGGATTCCCCCTTATAATGTTCGAGTGAGTTGTATAAAAGTCTGATATGACTTTTTTACTTTATATATTAGAAATGAAATAAACGTTGTACTACAATTACGTATAAAGGCGTGGAAATTTCACTCTGATTATACTTGCTTGAACTGCCCTTGTTTACACTCGCATCAACGACAGTAAGGTTGTTTTATTCAAAATGAATGTTTAGAAGTAAGTGAGACATTCAAAAAAATTATGAAGCAAAAAAAAGACTTTTCTCCAGAAACTTGACATAGCAGTGTTATACAAATGCCGAAGATCTGCATTGATAGACTCTCTCATTTGAATATTTTATACATTTCCATACCCAAACGAAATAATCTCAGTAGAAAAAGTAGCTCATAGCTAGCAAAAATTATTTTTGAGCCAATGTTATCACCCAATTTTTGATTTTTTTTCTCGAAACAGAAAAGCAAAGCTGACAATGAAATCTTTTCTGCGCTAGCCTGGGCCGGTAGTAATCTGGTCGAAACTCCGAGTTCAAAGCTGCGCGTTAACTCAGAGTTAACTCTGAGTTTCGTTTTGAAACTCCGAGTTAACTGCGAGTTTTGTTTCTGAAACTCGGAGTTTCGTGCTACTTGAGGATCCGCTCTAGTTGTTGAGGAGCCGCCACATGCTTCATCGCAAAACGCTGCGATTAAGTCGGGTCTCGAACTTCCGTTGCCGGCGTGAAGTGCCTACTTCTAGACCGCTAGGCTAAAGAGCCACTAATGCGCAACTGCCGTAACTGCTTAGTGAATCCACGTAATCAAGATCTCGCATGTCAAGAAACGTGGAGAGGCGTTAGGCTTGCCTGTGAGGTGCCTAGCAGCGGCGTTCCAGAGCGATTCCGAGGGGGGGGGAGGCAAATTTTTCAAATAAAGGTGCGTGCCGTTAGCCACGCACTCTGAAAAATTTTTTGAGGTGCATCTCAAAATTCTTGTGGGTCTAAAGCCCCCGAAAATTTTTCTACAAGGCTAATTTGAATTTTTAAAAAGTTCCAAAAATTTTTTTGATTGTTTACAAAAATAAAAGTTATTTGCACATTTTTACAACCCATGTAGGTAAGTTTCACCCCGCCCCCTTCAATCCGCTACTGGTGCCTAGCCATAATATATCCTAAAGATTCTCAAAAAAGTAGCAGGATAAAACATGGACATAGAAAGTAACCTAACAATCCGTCCCCCCTCCCCTCTCACCATATTTTGATATGCTATTATACTTTATAAAATTCGAAAGTCTGTTAGTTTCCAAAATATTTCGAATGACCTAGATCTATAATTTGTAATCTTGAAATAGACCATTATTTCAGGAAAATAGACTTCAAGGAGTAAACAAAATCTACAGGTCATTCGTAAATCGACTGTTAGAATTTCAAAAGACCTCTTTATAATGTAGCAAATTTCGAAAAATTCTTCTCGAGTTTTCTGTTGACACAATAAAAAAGAAATAATTCAAAAAAACACTCCCTGGTATCATTACTTTTTTGCTAAGAAAGTTCAACTCGACCTGAGATTTTTGCCGCTCTTCCGTATATGCCCACCGTAATAATCCTCATTGAAAACGGACAGCATGATCATAACTGCACTGCCAAATGAACTCAGTGGCGAATTTTTAAGCCTGCTCTATCTCTCCGCAGTGAAAAATGATTACCACATCCGAATTAGCGCAGCGAATGACCTCTCCAGAAAGTTTCAGTAAACTGCTTGAATCTCGCCCAACTACCATATTCCTACCGTAACCTCGCTATGTGGGCGAATGGCGAACCCACTGTACCAAGTTTCAGGCAATTTTGTGACTTTCGTCTAACTACCGTATACCTACCGTAATCCCGCTCCGTGGCCCCGTAGCGAAAAACGAATGTCATATTCGTGATCAGGGTGCCAAAAAACTCCACTGTACCAAGTTTCAGCCAATTTCGTGACTTCGCCCAACTACGTACCCCTACCGTCACCCCGTATGTGGGCGAATGGCGAAAAATGAGCATCGGATTCGTGATCAGCGCGTCATATAACACCGGGGACCAAAATTTTACAAAATTTTGGATTTTTGTGTTCAACGGTGCACCATGATACCCCATCATGCTTCATGAAATTCGAAGCAAAATCTACTCCGGAGGACTTTTTTCTGCATCTCTGCGTTTACGCACTATTTCTCTTTCTTTAATTGAACTCAGAGTTAACTTTGAGTTTCGCGGGCGCCTGAGTAGCGTCTCACGTGGAGCGAATTACGCTACGTTTCCACACTTGGCATAAAGTACGTCTTGCGGGGTATCCTGCCATATAACCCTTTCCCCAATTTGGTTTGCTTATGCAGGTGTTAATGGTCCCTGAAAAACGCGTGTTAACTCAGAATTAACTCTGAGTTAACTCTTAGTTTGAGCTGCGCGTTTTGACAGGTTTTTACTACCGGCCCTGATCTTCTTTAGAGAGACAAATTTGAAAGCAAATTATGGAACGCATTTTACAGTGTTTTTACAAGTAATCTCGGTTATCACTCAGTCGAAAATTTTTTTTTTGAAAATTCAATATTTGCCACATTTTCTCTTTGCTTTACCATCAAAAGATCTTTGGCTTGCTCAGAAGAAGTGACCTTGCTGCAGATGCATAAAGTTTTCTGCAGTGCTGCCGCTTTCTTTCCGTTTTAGATTTGTCACGCAAATTTGAAGGTTTCAACCAGACCATAATTTATTTCGTTTGCCCTCAGGTTAACATCATCGTATCATGCTTGTTGTTTCTCTTCGATTATAACAAGACCAACTAAGACAAGCTTTTGTTCCAGATACCTGATTCAGTTGACTGGCGACAGAACAAACTTGTTACTGAAGTCAAAAATCAAGGACAGTGCGGATCTTGCTGGGCTTTCTCAGCAACCGGAGCTCTCGAAGGACAACATGCTCGTGATACGAAAAAACTGGTAGCTTAGGTGGTCAAAATTTCTTTAGAGCTTTTCAGGACTAACATCTTCTCAGATCTCCCTCTCCGAACAAAATCTCGTGGATTGCTCGTTTACCTTCGGAAACAATGGATGCAGCGGAGGTCTTATGGATTTTGCCTATGAGTATATCAAGGAAAATCACGGAATTGATACAGAAGAAAGCTACCCTTACTTTGCTAACGTTTGTCCTTGTCGCAGCCTCTCTCGTTTTCATCTTTATCTCTTACAGGAGTCAAGATGTCATTTTGCAAGAAGGAACAGCGGAGCGATTGCTACAGGCTTTGTAGATCTTCCCATAGGAGACGAAGACCAATTGAAAGTGAGAGTTGTTTGGAACTTTATAGAATCTCAATTGGAAACTCTTATAGATAGCTGTAGCGACTCAGGGACCTATATCTGTCGCTATTGACGCAAGTAACAAAAGCTTTCAACTCTATAAAACGGGTAGGTTATTTTTTAAGCCCGCGTTTTGGAGTGCTGTCTCACGCTGTCGCAGCTTGCTTGCAAAGCAATATTTGATGAGATGAATGTACTTTTCAAACTTAGCTGAGTGCAGCGCATTGTTATTCCTTGAGAAATCTAGTACAGAATGTTTCACCTCAAGCCTAATCTCGTAGCGCACCTAAATGTGGGCTGTTTATAAGAGACTAGAAGCAATTCATGCGAAAAAAAAAACTCGTCAGAGTCGGTTGAGGCAAAAGCGTTCTCTATAAACAAAATCTGTTCCTTCCCTTTGCACGCAGTCTCTAGCGCCAAATCTGGGCACATATTATCGCACGTGGAAACTCATTCTAAGGGCTTAACTAAAACATTGCCCAAGCGGTATCGCAAATGGTGCACTCGCAACTGTGATATCGTCCTCAAACCAATCTCGCTATTACGTAGACTACATGCATCGGCTTGTGCTACTGCGTGGGGACCCACGACCTCGCGCTTCGTCCCCGCGCAAAATTTCTGCGAGATGCAAGTCGTCCGCCAAATACGGTACTAGGGAAAAGGTTCATGAACACTGCCTACAAGGGTCGGGCATAAATGACACGACTTCATAGCCTCAATTCTTGGGTGTATGTTAAGAGGCCCGATTTTTATTGCCAGATGGATACCAAAAAGCACATAATAAGTGTTTTATTACATTTAAAAAGTACTGAAATTTTGAAAGGGGAGATATATTTAGGAGTTGCATGGGTTGCTCAATCTGGCTACCTTGGAATCAGTTCAAAAGGCAATCTTGAAGGTCAAAAACGCATGAAAATGCAGCTGAGAACAAATTCGTAAATATTTCGGTCCGTTTTTCAGCAAAAGCCATCGAACTCGGCGAGTGGTAACCTTAGAAAGGTCCAATCCAATGCACTTTATGTGATACTTTTTAAAGACTCGCATAGCATTAGACTGGAGTTTTGAGTTAGTGACAGCCGGAGAACTCGCGCCCAGAGGTGCGATAGGTGGAGCCGGGCCCCCCAAAAGTGAAGATGCTTCCAGCTACCACTGGCCGGCCAAAAGTGAAGGTGGTAGTGCCGGACATTCACCTCCCAAAAACAGGGGGGGGGAGCGTTAACGTCGACTGAGCCCATCCTCCAGGTCGTTGCCGTCAGTGCGCGGAAAATAAGCAAAACAAATGCAAAAGAGATCATTGAAGGCATATTATTATGTATACAACGGCATAAATATCTAAGATAAAGAGCTTATCAAATGGTATAGTTAGAAGTAAAACTCAGCTGAACTTTATGGATTTTAGTGAGTAAAATTTGTTATGACGTACAGCGAAAAAAGTAGGTCGATCTAGGCAGTAACCGCCAAGAACCAGAATTTCAAATATAAAATAGCGAAAAATCATGCGAAATTTCCACTGTTATAAATCTGGTGGCTGGAGATGTCAGTAAATGATTTTTCATAGTTTTTGAAGGGCAAGTGTTGCTCTACCAGATAGTGAAAGAATTAGGTCGATCTGAGCAGTTCTGAGCAGTGGCCGCCGAGAACGAGAATTTTAAAAAATTAAGCGATTTTAGGTCACCTAGTGACAGCTGACGTTTAGACTCCTGTAGATCTGGAATGTGAAGGTGTGCAATGTTGAGACTTCATAGGTTTTGTAGAGTAGGAATTGCTTTATCGGGCTATGTCTTAGCCGTACCGATCCATCAAGATACCGCCGAGATTCAGGCTCTTCAAAAAAAAGGGTAAAAAACCGCTTTTTGAACTTCAACAGCCCATAACTTCTTCAGAATTGCATGAATCATTTTCGAACTTCATAGGTTGGATTCTTCTTTTTAAGAGCTTTCAGATGATATATAATATGTGGGGGTTTTGCGCCTCTCACGGCATATGCCCGGGGGTAGAGACTTTTGACCCCAAAGTCTCCACTGGCGGTCTCCAGCCAATACATTAACATGGGCAAGGTGGAGACTTTGGGGTGAAAAGTCTTTACCCTGGGTTAGAGCCGCAAAAATCATTGAACCTCCCACATGTTAAATACCATCTGAAAGCTCTTGGGGAGGAGAATCCAACCTATGAAGTCGCAACTTGATTCATGCAATTCTTAAGAAGTTATGAGCTGTTGAACTCCAAAAAGCGGTTTTTACCTGTTTTATCAAGATCCTGGATCTCGGCGTTGTTTCAGTGAATTGGTACGGCTAAGATATATTCTGATAAAGCGAACGTCACTTTACAAAACCTCTGAAGTTTCAACATTGCACACCTTCACATTCCAGATTTACAGGAGTCTAAACGTCAGCTGTCACTCAGTGACCTAATCGCTTGATTTTTTAAACTTCTCGTTGTCGGCGGCCACTGCTCAGATCGACCTGATTCTTTCACTATCTGGTAGAGCAACACTTGCCCTTCAAAAACTATGAAGTCGTATTTGCTGACATCTTCAAGCACCAGATTTGTAACAGTGGATATTTCGCATGATTTTTCGTTATTTTAACATTTGAAATACTGGTTCTCGGCGGTTACTGCCTACATCGACCTACTACATAGATATATGCTCTTAATACTTTCTTTTGCGTTCCTTTTGCTTATTTTCCTTCTTTTAAGCTTTTTTCAGCAATTTTTCAAATCCAAAAGTGAAGGTGGTCACCCCGTACCAGCTCAAAAGTGAAGGTAGGCGGAAACTCGGCTCCGACTATCGCACCTCTGCTCGCGCCTCTTGACCGTCTCCCGCAATTCTTTCGACTACACAACTGTTGCGAATCCATTGCAAGACGATCATTGGCTCTCGGTTGTGATAGTTTTCCCATACTAAAAAACAAACTTTCACAACCGAGATGCAACGTGCGCTATGCAATGGACTCGCAACAGTTGTCCTGTCTGTAAAGTCGCGAGGCGATAGAATCGCGTGATGCATGCCTGAACCTTTAGAAATCAAAATGCGATATGACTAGAGGTTATTTTTTTTATGGTTGCACATTCTAAAAAGTGGCGATTTAATGTGTTCTGAGATAATTTTTTTCTCAAACACTGAGCTGAATTTTTTTCTCAAACACTGAGCTGCCCTCACAATCGCATTAATTGGATGCAATGAGGTTATCTCCTCACATGATTTTTGCTACCGTTTCTTGAGTTGCCATGCGAGACTCGCGATGGTTTCCCCATGTGCACAGCGACTTGGTCATCGCACTTTCCTCAGGGTGCATTTAGTGACACTAACTCGGAAAGTTCATATGAGAAATTCTTGATCACCCAAAATTTGCAGAACGTGCCACTCGAAAAGGCTAGATTCGTTAGAATAAACATCTGTACTACCGTCCTTCATTACCATGTTACCATGTATGAGTAATACTTATATGGAAGAAGAATTTGAAACTGAGATAATACCTTCAGGCGTTTACTTCGAAAAGTACTGCACTGACGAAAACCTCAACCATGGTGTACTTGTCGTTGGATATGGTAGTGATTCGAAAGAAGGGGACTATTGGATAGTCAAAAACAGGTTAGAGTATCTTAGCTAAGGTTTTGAACTCTGAAATTGTTTTTAATTTTTTTCTAGCTGGGGCAAGGATTGGGGAGAAGAAGGTTATATTCGCATGGCTCGCAATCGCCATAATAACTGTGGTATCGCAACGATGGCCAGTTTTCCACTCGTTTAAAAGCAGTGGAGTTTGAAATCCAAATCCAAATCTTGACTTTGCACCTGTGCATATATCTAAATTTGCCAAAATTGTCGTGTAGATAAAATTTTGTGTAAATTGATGCTTATAGTTTTGAAAAACTCATACTTGCATCACCACATTTGCTGTCCTTAATGGCGAACTAGGGAGCTTTTTAACGTTTCAGTTGATAAGTCGAAATCGAAAGCATGCCTTTCAAAGGGTTAAATATGATATTTATGACCAAAAAACCAGTCGAGACTTTGCAATTAATGCTGTGATGGTCTCAAATGATCTCCATAAATTTGCTGGTGGCTTTCTTCTTGTTTAGAAATTTATTTATTGAACTATTCTTCATACAGATTACTTGCTCAATCATAAACACAAAGGAGTGCTTTGTTAGTTCGTATTAGTTGATAAGATTTGGTCGGAAATTTTTGAATTATATGCGCCCTTTGACAAGAAAGTCTTGACAGCGTGTGTAACCTCTAACAGTGGCTTTAATGACTCAAAATTCTTAAACTTCCCTTTTAGTTTAGTGAAGAAGCAGCAAAATCTTATTGAATGTAGATTTCGTATCGCTTCTTTAGCCTTGGCTAAGAATATGGGGACTGTGCCTTATTCAGCTAAAGGAAGATAAGAAAAAGAGAAACAAAATTGCTATTGGATATGTTCTATATGTTGTGATCGTATTACTGTGAGGTCGGCATCTGCCAATTCCGTGCTTCACTTCAGTTATTGGTGATAAGCAGTGGAGCCATTCCCATTCATGCTGGCTGACTCTATGAGGAAGAAAATTTTGAAGATGAAACTGCAGCGCTTGGACTATCTCTACTGATGAGTGTAATCTTGTTGTTATTATCTTGTTGTTTATGATTAAATTTGTATGCTTTGTATTCTGTTCAGTTTACTGAACTCAAGGTTCGTGAAGCGTCTAGCGATAATATTAACACGTTGACGACCGAGCCATTTTTGACCACATCAAAATGGATTGATGATCTACGGTTGCGGTTTAGTCTGTTTGAAAGCTACCGCAATGCCCTGTGTTCTACATGACAACCAAGCCACCATTATCCACGCATAAAAGTTACCTTACAACTTCTCGTTTACACATGAAAGATTGATGCACGAAAGTGCCAAAAGGTGGTCAGGGCGTGCATACTCGCGAATGCACACGGTCTTCAACGTGTTAAAATTTGATCTTGAGACTATCGCTTGTCAACCATTCATCTCACACGCAAAGGATTTATTAGATTGGACTTCTGAAGAACGGCACATATATGCCTGAAACCGGTTAAAACGCTGACTATGCGTTTTACCTGGTTTCAAGCAATGCAGATGCTTTCCGCAACTGTGATGCTCTGAACCGAGTCATGCGCCTTTTAGTATGCCTCATTGACATACAACTAACGGAATGGTCAGAAATCGAAGTGGCCAATTCAAGCAAGCTGCATACCATTCGATGCAGCATAGAATGCTGATTTCAGATCTGTCTTCCTTATCTGCAGAGCGCTTTTGTAGGCGAAGTTATAAGCCGTTAAATGTCATCATTCTGCTAAGAATACAAAGCCATTGTCGGCTCAGTGCTGGACCAAAACGTGTAACTAGGTCAGTTTATATGGTTCGTACCTAAAGGTGAGCTAAAAGAGCAGCGATTTGCCTAATTTCGCAGTTTTTGTGGACGATTTTTCGCAGTAAAGCTGCTCATAACTTCGCCCACAAAGGCGCTCTGCAGATATGGAAGACACATTTGAGATCAGCATTCTATGCTGAATCGATTGGTATGCAGCTTGTATGGATTGGCCACTTCGACTTCTGACCATTCCCTTGTAAGTATGGAAAGACAGCCTGTAGGTAGGAATCTGCCCAAAAAAGGTGGTGGGATATCGAAGTGGTCACTTGGTGTTGTTAAGAGACATTAAGCATTTAAATCACTAACTAGGTGATGATACCGTAACATCGGCAAATCGGTCACTACGCTTGTTTTGCTTACGAAGAAACCCAGAATTAGCTTCAAAGTATCGCTTCCACATACATAATCAGCGTTCCAAGCAGATTTAGAATGTTGTTTTTTGGTCAGCTCAAATTAGATTTAACATCCACTTTGCAAATTGGATTTGGGTCGGTTCAAATTTGACTCCCCTTGTCAGTGAATAAAAAGCATAAAAGATAGGATTTTTCAAAACCTTCGTGGGCATGCTCCAAACAATTCGAATTCTTAGTGAAGAAGCAATTGAGTGCGAAAGGGCCTTTTACAGCGACTTGCGGGGGTCAGCAGTTAGCCGAAATGGAAACATAACGCTAACGTGTATGCATAAGCCACCCCCACAAAACAACGTGGACTAGCAAATACATAATGCAAAAGGGATTTATATCAAAGTTTGCTTTGCGAGCAATACATAGATTGTAACCATAGTGTCTTTAAAGTGACAAAGCAGACTCTTTTCTGAAACCATAAAAAGAAGGATAACAAGGCAGATTTTTCGGTATGCCGGGACAAGCGGCCATTTCAAAAAATCAGAGTGTAACCTTGTAACACTCTTGTTATTAGTTGGAACTTTCCACCTTTCCCACCCGTCATCGTACGCCAACGAAAATGGAATAACAACAAGCGGTGCGCTTACGTTTGGAAAGAACATCCAATTCTTGGACAAGGATTGAATCATTGAGGGCATATTCAAAAATGGTTGAAGCATATGTTCCGTTATAGAATCAAAACATCTGTGCTTATCTGCTCAATCTTCGAGCTTGCATTCTTTCGTAATTGATTTTCAACGATAAGTGATTCACTTCTTCTTGAACATATTTTACCAGTTGAATATCAAGTAAAAGCCCAGCACCATTTTCTCGCTTCCCGTGACATACTGAGTAACAAAGTTGGTTCAAAAAAGGAATGGTCTTAGATTGACATTAAGTCAAAGGTTAAACTTCTTTGTTTGCGTTAGGCTAACCTCGCGCTCAATTCTCTTCACTTCGTGTGTGTAGAAATTGAATTTTGTCTTGTGCGGGTTTGCGATTGCCCGAATTTGTGCTGCCAGCGGGCTCCTTAGCGTTCACCTCAACTTGAGTAATCCAACCATTATCATTATATAACAAATACAAGAACGCGGAAACAATAAACAGAGATATTTTGTGGTGAGTTACTGAGTAAGATCCACTAACATTATAATCAATAACATGAACTTATATGTTAGTATCTAACAACTACCTCACTACTAGCTATACTTAAGGTTAGTTAACTACTACAGCACTTGTGTCAACTGCCACTATGACTACACTGACCCTACACTTGTAGCACTACTACAAATAGAACTATTACTGCTACAGTACTTGTCTTGGCCCCTTTCCCCAGAAGACTTGTTAACAAATGGCGGTTCTCGCCAGTCGTCCTCTATTTATACCCCCTCCGGAAGCTCAGATCGTGATCACTGATCTGGATTAGCGGAGCTCTAAATGCAGTTTGCCACGATAAGTTTGTGGTATCTTGTAGTTTCCTCCGCTCAATATACAGTTGCCAACTTGTAAACTAGTCGACAACGACAGTATGTGTTCGATCAAAGAGTGAAAAGAGTATATGATCATGACTTATAATAAAGCGCTAAGCGTCTGTCTTTTTGTGCGTGTGTGTGTGTCTGTATGTCTATCTGTCACCTAATTCATGGAGGGAGCTGCAGCCAAGCTATCGAGCTACAATTTTGCATAACATACCGCACCAGCATGTAGGTCCACTATGCTCAAGGACGAGTCGGTTTGATGAACGGGTCCATAAAAATTGGCGCGTCAAACGGGTCCACGCGGCTTCTGGCAGGCGAAACTAGGTCGCTAGTTCGACTTTTTGCAAAGTCATGATTTGACACGTAAATCTGCGTGCCATGAATTCTAGCCCAAAAGGTGTTCAAAAAATCTGTTTTTCCGCGAAAACAGCGCCAAAAAGTGGTAATCGCATATATAATCGATTTGGCAAGGTTTTACCTTGAAATTTGAAAGGATTTTTGCACGGAAATGTAGTTCAAAGTGACTATTATCCCTATAACGACTACCAAGCCGAAACAAATTCAGTAATCCATTCAAATTCGCATTTTTATGATGGTATCGCTCTTGAGAACTGCAGCAGTAGCAAGGATTTGGGCGTCACCGTTGACGAACATTTGAAATTTTCTTCCCATTTTGATTCGGTATCTAGGAAAGCCCTATCCGTTCTTTTTATCATACTGAGAAGTACCCACAGTAATGATCCACTTCTCTTGGTGAAACTGTATAAAACTTATGTCCTGCCCCAGTTAGAATATGCGTCCCCTGTTTGGAGCCCGTTTTTGAAGAAAAACATTGAGAAGATCGAAAAAGTGCAAAAAACCTTCACTAGAATTGTCTACTACCGATGCTATCCAAAACCTGACTATCCCCGCTCATTACCGCCGTATAAGGAGAGATTATCTGCGCTAAAATTGCATAGTTTGAAGTACAGGCGGGTCTGTAATGACCTAATATTCTGCTTTCGGATCTTACGGCTCGAGACGAGGTTAAGACCTAGTCAGTATTGGATATTTAGGCCCTGTGGGGATCGTACAGGCGGACTCCGGCTGGGTTATCGGAACTTAGGAAAGAAATTTTTTTCTATAGCATTCAACTCATTTGTATGTCGTACTGCACGGTGGCTCAGCCTCCTACCAAGAGATGCTACCTCTTGTAGCACTTCCGCTGAATTTCGAAAGAAACTTTCTTCAATTGATGTAATGCAGATTCTAAAAATTGCAGATGTATGATTTCGAAATCTGAAAATTTTTCGACATTTTTGACAGTTTTTTCTTGACGTTACTTTTTTAGAAAACAGAAGGCACAGAAGTGAGAGTGAATTCAGAATCTTGTAAACTGTGTTTCTTTCCTTGTTTGTAACCGTTCAGACAGGTTTATTGCCTCTTTGCTTGGAAAGCCGTTTGAGGAGGTCAGAAGTTGGCGAGCCCTCTTCCTTGAGGCCCCCCCCCTTCCCGCTCGCCCAGGGT